GATGTGTATAAGAGACAGCTCACAATCCTTGCGAAATATTTTAAAAATTATTACATATTAATAGGAATATTAATCATTACAAAGTATAACAGATAATGAGTGTCAGTATAAATAATATGCAATACATTTTTTATTATAATAGTTATTATAATAGTCATAGTGGTTCATTAGGAAGCCGGGCAAACCTAAAAAACATCCAAAGAATCATTAGACCTAAAAAAAGGTACCAAAATTTAAAAAAAGAAAAGAAAAAATGATTAGTAATTATGAAAAAGAATTTTTTAAAAAAAATTAAAAATATAATTCAAACTAACCTTCACTCTGAAAAGTACCACCAAAACCTAAAAAAGAGAAAAGGGGTGTTCCCTACAAAAAAAAAGTTAAATTAGTGATATTTTTTAAAGTTTAAAATTCATTTTCAGAACTTACCCAAAGTTCTCAAAAATTGATCATCTACTAAAAAAAAGAAAAGAATGAATCATCAATAATGTTTCGTTAAAGAAATAATGTTAGGAAAATATTATTTACCAAAATTTACATCTGTCCAAGGTGTTGCAGTAGTACTGTTTAAACTACAAAATATAGAACACAAACTGTCTCTTATACACATCTAGATGTGTATAAGAGACAGAAATAATAGCAAATAAATGAAAAGGGAGTGAAATGGATATAGAAAATGAAAAGGGAATAAAGTGATGATAGAAAATAAAAGAAACTGTTAGTATTATTTTCAATAAAGAAAACAATAAAATAGCAAAATACTAGCAATAAAAGTGAGTCTTACCTTAAACCTCTTGAAGTTATTTGAAATTGTTTTCTGAAAAATAAGTTAATTAGTTAGCATAAGAGAAAAAGAACATTAAACTAGCGAAGTAATAAGAAAATAAAAAAAATCTTACCTTAAAGAAGTTCCAGCCATTTTGGAAATAATACTACAAGAAAGCAAAAAACAAAATATGCACTACGCGTTTGTGTAATATGAAATCACCTGGTGAATTTCACCGGGGTAAATTTAAAATTTTAATGCATTGCAGATCAAGGTGAAATTCACCGGAGGTGAATGTAAAATTAATCATTATACAAAAAATGTTTTCGCAACGTTTTTTGTATGATAACTCAAGCCAGCTCGAGCTTTTTGAGCCAAGCCTATTACTGGCTTGAGCTTTTTGAGCCGAGCCTATCACCGGCTCGAGCTCATTTCAAGCTGGCTCGCGAGCCACTGAGCCAATTTAATCGTGGCTCAGCTCAGCTCAGATTGAAAAGCTTGAGCCAGCTCGTGAGCCGGCTCGGCTCATGCAGAGCTTTAAGTGACACTGCTGTGATGAGCTGTACCACTGTGGTAAATATTTTTCCGCTATGTACTATCGGGAGAATCTGGTATAAAATTTTTTGAGCCACTGCAGCCCTACCCCGCTTTATCCGTGCCCCATTTTTGGTAATTTTTCACAGGTGATCTGTAATATTTTACATATATTATCTGCAAAACTTTCCAAAAATTTTTACAGATGTTTATTCTGAATTTTCCCATTTTTTATTATCTGAATATTAACAGATAATCATCTGGGTAATAGCAGATAAATTATTGTCAGATTTATATATTTTTTTGTGTGATAAATTAAAAAAAAAATTTTTTAGAAGTCTAAAACTTGTCAAATATAAACTTTTTTTCATAATTTTTTATTTATTGCTTTACAAGGAAAGTTTTTAATGTATTTATAATATTTTATTAACAGTTAATAAATAATAATTACTTTATAGTTTTTGATACATAATTTATTTATATTTTTATCTTACACTATAACAGAAGTGAATTGTTTTTTTTTTAATATCACTAGTCGAAAAAGGAATATTCGGTCTTAGTAAAATTCGG